AGTAGTAAGCAGCAGCAGCAGCAGATCAGGAGTTTAGTAGGTAGTAGTAGTAGTAGCGTAGTAGTAGTAGTAGTAGAAGTAGTAGTAGCAGTAGTAGAGTCGTTAGTGTAGTGGTGGTAGTAGTAGTAGTTAGTAGTAGTAGTAGTGGTAGTGTGTAGCAGTAGTAGTAGTAGCAGTAGTAGTAGTAGTAATAAAAAAACAGTAGTAGTAATGTAGTAGTAGTAGTAGTAGTAGTAGTAGTAGTAGTAGTAGTAGTAGTAGTAGTAGTAGTAGAAGTAGTAGTAGTAGTAGTAGTAGTAGTAGTAGTAGTAGTAGTAGTAGTAGTGGAGGCAGTAGTAGTAGTAGTGGTAGTAGAAGTAGCAGCAGCAGCCGTACGAGGAGTAGTAGTAGTACGAGTAGCAACAGCAGTAGTAGTATCAGCAGCAGTACCAGTAGTAGTAGTAGTAGTAGTAGTAGTAGTAGTAGTAGCAGTGGGAGCAGTAGTAGCAGTTAGCAGTAGTAGCAGTAGAACTAATAATAACAGTAGCAGTAGTAGTAATAATACTAGTAGTAGTAGCAGTAGTAGTAGTAGTAGTAGCAGCAGCAATACTAGTAGTAGTAGTAGTAGTCGTAGTAGTAGTAGTAGCCACAGCAGTAGTAGTAGTAGTAGCAGCAGCAGTACCAGTAGTGGTAGTAGCAGTGGTAGCAGTAGTAGTAGTAGTAGTAGGAGCAGTAATAATAATAATAACAGTAGCAGTAGTAGTAAAAGAACTAGTAGTAGGAAACATAAAAAATAGTTGCAGTAGCAGGTGGTAGCAGAAGTAGTAATGGTAGTAGTAGTAATAGTAGTAGTAGTAGTAGTAGTAGTAGTAGAAGTAGCAGCAGTAGTGAAAATAGTAATATGAACAGTGGTACTTGTAGTAGTAGCAGTAGTAGAAGCAGCAGTAGTAGTAGTAGTAGTAGCAGTAGCAGAAGTAGTAGCGGTGGTAAAAGCAGTAGCAGTAGTAGTAGTAGTCGTAGTAGAGGTAGAAGTAGTAGCAGTGCCAGTAGTAGCAGTAGTAGCAGCGGCAGTAGTAGTAGTAGTAGTAGTAGTAGCAGTAGCGAGGGTAGTACAAGTAGTAGATAGTGGTAGTGGTAGCAATAGCAGTAGTAGTAGTAGTGGTAGTAGTAGTAGTAGGAGTAGCAGTAGTAGTGGTAGTGGTCGGAGTAGTAGTCGTAGTAGGAGAAGGAGTAGTAGTAGTAGTAGTAGTAGTAGTCGTAGTAGTAGTAGTAGTAGTAGGAATAGTAGTGGTAGTAGTAGTTGTAGTAGTAGTAGTGGTAGCAGTAGTAGTAGTGGTAGTAGAAGTCATAATGGCAGTGGTAGTAGTAGTCATAGTACTAGTCGTGGTAGTGTTGGTAGTAGTAATAGTAGTAGTAGTAGTAGTAGTACTAGTACTAGTACTAGTACTAGTACTAGTACTAGTAGTATCAGTAGCAGCAGTAGCAGTAGCAGTAGTAGTAAAAGTAGTAGTAGTAGTAGTAGTGGTAGTAGTAGTAGTAGTAGCAGTTGTTGCAGTAGTAGTAGTGGTAATACTGGCAGCAGTCGTAGCCGTAGTAGTAGTAGTACTAGTAGTAGTGGTAGTGGTGGTAGTAGAAATAGTAGCAGCAGTAGTAGTAGTGGTAGCCGTAGTAGTGCGAATCGTGGTAGTAGTGATGGTAGTAATAGTAGTAGTAGTAGTGGTAGTAGTAGTAGTAGTGGTAGTGGTAGTTGTAGTAGTAGTGGTAGCAGTAGCAGTTGAAGTAGTCGTAGTGGCAGTAGTAGTAGTAGTAGTAGTAGTAGTAGTAGTAGTAGTGGTGGCAGTAGTACTAGTAGCATAAAAGGTAGTAGTAGAAGAAGTAGTAGCAATAGCAGTAGTAGTAGTAGTCGTAGTAGTAGTAGTGGTAGTAGTAGTGGTAGCAGTAGCAGTAGTAGCAGTAGTGGTAGCAGTAGAAGTAGCAGTGGTAGTGGTGGGGGTAATGCAAAATAATAGCAATAGTAGCAGCAGCAGTAGTAGTAATGGCAGCAGTAACAGTAGTAGCGGTAGTAGTAGTAGTAGCAGTAGTAGTAATACTAAACATGATAGCGGAAGCAGTAGTAGTAATAATAAGGGTCATAGGAGCAGTAGCAAAAGTACTAGCATTAGTCGTAATGGAACTAGCAGTAGAAGTAGCAATAATAGAAAAAAATAAGAGTGATAGTGGTAGCAGCAGCAGTAGTAGCATTAGCAGTAGTAGCAGTAGCAGTAGTAATAATAGCAGTATCAGTAGTAGCAGCAGCACCAGCAGTGGTAGTAGCAGTAGTCGTAGTAGTAGGGCCACTAGTAGCAGTAGCAGCAGCAGCAGCAGTAATAGTACAGTAGCAGTAGTAGCAGTAGGAGTGGCAGTAGTAGTAGTACTGATGGTAGTAGTGCTAGTAGGAGTAGTGGTAGTAGTAGTATTAAAAATAGTCGTAGTAGCAGTGGTAGGGGTAGGAGTGGTAATCGTAGTAGTCGTAGTAGGAGTAGTAGTAGTAGTAGTAGTAGTAGTAGTAGTTGTAGCTGTGGTACTAGTAGTAGTGGTGGTAGAAGTCATAGTAGTAGTGGTAGTAATAGTAGTAATAATAGTGGTCAGTTTGGTAGTGGTGGCAGCAGCAGCAGCAGTTGCAGTAGCAGTAGCAGTAGTAGTAGTAGTAGTAGTAAAAGTAGTAGTAGTAGTAGTAGTAGTAGCCGTAGTGGTAGTAGTAGTAGTAGTAGTAATAGTAATAGCAGTAGTACTAACAGTAGAAGTACTTGTAGTAGTAGCCGTAATAGTGGTAGTAGTAGTAGTAGTAGCAATAGTACTTGTAGTAGTAGCCGTAATAGTGGTAGTTGTAGAAGTAGAAGTAGTCAGAGCAGTAGCAGTAGTAGTAGTAGTAGTAGTAGTGGTAGTAGTAGTAGTAGTAGTAGTAGTGGTAGTGCTAGTAGTAGTAGTAGTAGTAGTAGTAGGTAGTAGTAGTAGTAGTAGTAGTAGTAGTAGTAGTAGCAGTAGCAGTAGCAGCAGTAGAAGCCGTATAAGTAGTAGTGGTAGTACTAGTAGTAGTAGCAGTAGTAGAAGAAGAAGTGATAGCAGTAGCAGTAGTAATAGCGGTGGTAGTAGTAGTAAGAGTAGTAGTGGTAGTAATAGCAGTAGCAGTAGTAGTAGCAGTAGCAATAGCAGTACTAGCAGAAAAAGTAGTAGTAGTAGTAGTAGTAGTAGTAGTAGTCGTGGTAGCACTAGTAGTAGCAGTAGTAGCTGCAGTAGTAGTGGTAGTTGTAGTGGCAGTAGTAGTAGTAGTAGTAGTAGTAGTAGTAGTAGTAGTAGTAGTAGTAGTGGTAGTAGAAGTAGTAGTAGTAGTAGTTGTTGTAGTAGTAGTAGTAGTGGTAGTGGGAGTAGTAATAGTCGTAGCAGTAGTGGTAGTTGTAGGAGTAGCAGTAGTAGTAGCAGCAACAGTAGTAGAAGTAGTAGTAGTAGTAGTAGTAGTAGCAGTAGTAGTAGTAGTAGTAGTACTGGTAGTGGTAGTAATAGTAGTACAGTAGCAACAGTAGCAGTAGTAGTAGCTGTAGTAGTAGCAGCAGTAGCAGCAGCAGCAGTGGTAGTAGTAATAGTAGTAGTAGTAGTAATAGTAGTCGTCGTAGTCGTAGTCGTAGTCGTAGTAGTAGTAGTAGTAGTAGTAGCAGTAGTAGTAGTGGTAGTAGTAGTAGTAGTAGTAGTAGTAGTACCAGTAGTAGTAGCAGCAATACTAGTAGTATAGTAGTAGTAGTATTAGTAGTATTAGTAGTAGTAGTAGTAGTAGTAGTAGTAGTAGTAGTAGTAGTGGTAGTGGTAGTGATAGTGATAGTGGTAGTCGTAGTAGTAGTAATAATAATAGTAGTAGTTGTTGTTGCTGCTGCTGTTGTTGTAGCATGTTGGGATGATGCCGACACGAGTCTGGTGTCGCTCGGGGTTCTGGGAGCGCTCAGGGCGATCCAAAGACCGAATTCCTGGGGGATCGACGGCACCCGTTTCTATCGTGCCGTGGCCCACCCGTCTGCCCAGAGAAAAAAAGGAGGGACGGACAGGGAGGCAGTGGTGCGAGCGACAAACCGACTCGAGGGAGCTTGCCCGAAGGCGCTTCGAAGGGCATCGCAGCTGAAGCCGAAGCCAAAGCTGAAGACTGGAAATGGGAAGTATTGGGCGCACGCTAGCAGAAATTGGAGATCCGTGGATCTGGCGTGTGAGCGCCAGATCCGCGGACTGGGGCTCAACCTGAAGCCAGCGCCGCCTGATTTGGCGACGCAGCGCATCACTACTCCACGAGCAGTGACCCATGCTCGCGCCTCCCTGAAATTATGGTTAGGTCGGGCATGTCCTCCTACAGGCGGATTTTCGAAGAAAAATGAAAAGTAGTTCAGAAACATTCGAAAATAGTGGAAAATAGTCGAAAAATCGTCCACGGACTGTGTTTTGGCTATTTGTGGTTTTTCCTCCTGTGGAGGGGCGTGCCCGATGTAAAGTTAGGGGAGGGGTTGGGCCACCCACCCCTGGCCTGGCTCCTCTTGCGCACAGGGTACAGGGAGGAACTTCGGCGTCCCCCAACCCCGTCTCCCCCAACCCCGTCTCCCAGCAGTAAAACTGGCTGTGAAGTGTGTTACTGAACGGGCCCAGGGACACACAAATAAAGACACACAACTCCCAGGATTCCCAATATCTTCTGATATGTTCTCGACTTCCGTCTTTCCCCCCCCATCCCGTGTTTCCTGGGCATTGACGATTAGTTGTGTCTGTGTGTTCTTTCCCCTCCTGAAGGATCTTCGGTGTTCCCCAGCCTCGTCTCCTCCAACCCCGTCTCCCAGCAGTAAAAACCTGGCTGGGGGGGGTGTCACGTCGGTGCTGCTCTGTGGCCCTTCTGCGAAGCCACTGCACCCGTCGGAAGTTCAGCTCCGAAAGCGCGACCCGCCCCCGAGCGGGCCTCCTCCAGTACGCCAAATCAGCCCTCAGCCTGCGCATTGGCGCCGGGACGAAGCCACTCAGCCTGCCATCTCCTCGCGCACGAGCTGTCGGATGATCTCGCTGGCGGCGCCGCCGATGCACACCGCGTCCAGCTGCTTGGCGTTGCGCATCTCGTTCAGGGCGTCGGCGCAGCAGCTGACGAGCGCGGCAGGGGAGAGGGACTCGGGCACCTCGCAGTTGCAGCACAGAAGCGCGCGCTGCAGGCTGCGGCAGAGCGTGCCAGAAGCGTGCACCATGCCAGGCAGGTAGTACTCGTGCACCGGCGGGCCCAAGGCGGTGCTGGGGGCGCTGGCGTCCTGGAAGAAGTGGGGAGCGGCCGTCCACAGGAGGCTCACCTCACGGGCGGTGGCCTGGCGGCGCCCTGTTCGCCACAGCACCTGCACCGCTGCCGCCCAGTCCTCCTGGACAGGGCTGAACCTAAACGGCGGTTTTCGTCTTCGTTTTGGTTTCGTTTTCCCTCGCTCTTGTCTCCCACCCGCCGCTGCTGCACAACGAAGTCGAAACGAAAGCGGCCCACGAAATCACCAAAGCCACCGATTCGGTCCAGCCCTGCTCCTGACTACCTACCAGACCTCCCCAACCCAACCCGAAGGCCCGAATTTGACCCGAATTTCGGGTTGGGGGCAAATTGAGAGTTTCGGGTTGGGTTGGGGTGGTTTGGTGGGTGGTGAGCTCCTGGACATTGGCCACCTGGCTCAGCACCTCGTGGAACTTTGCCTGCGGCAGCGCTGGGGGCAGCTCGCCCCGCGCGCAGAGTTCGGCGGGGAGGTCGCCGGCTCCCGCCTCCGCGAGCCTCCGTGCCCAGGCCTGCTCCTCCTGTGCACCGAAGGCTCCCACATACCTATCCAGATACGTGTATATATATATATATACATATATATATATATATATATATATATGTGTGTATATGTGTGCCGATGTTTTATATAAAAGTATATATATATATACTGATATATATATATATATATATATATATATCTATATATTATATATATATATATGCGCAGCCCCCCCAGCGCCCATGGATTTTGCATCGGTCGTTGACCTCAACTTCTGAGAGAGAGAGAGAGGGAGAGTTGAGGGAGCAGCGATCGCTTTGGAATCACAGGATTAGCGACGTCAAGGGTCGCCAAACCCTGTGTTTTCATTTGGGTTTTTGGGATTTCTGGTATGAGAATCAAGGAAACCATGTGCTTTCATTTGGATTTTTTGGATCTTTGGGATTTCTAAGGTTCTGAAGCTTCGGAGGCTCCTGGGTTGTTATTCTCTGGAAAGAGAAAATCCCCCAAGTCCAAAAAATCCACATGAAAACGCATGGTTTCCTTGATTCTCATCCCAGAAATCCCAAACATCCAAATGAAAACACAGGGTTTGGCGACCCATGACGACGCTAACCCTGTGATTCCACAGCGATCGCTGCTCCCTCAACTCTCTCTCTCTCTCTCTCTCTCTCCACCTTTCTCTACCTTTCCCTCAGTCTCTCTGTGTGCGTCCTTCTCTGTGTCCCCTCTCCTTTGTCGCTCTTGCTCTTTCTCCCCCTCCTTCTCCTCCTCCTGGCCCAGCTCCTCCTCCTCCTCCTCCTCATCCTCCTCCTTCTCCTCGTCGTCCTCTTCTTCTTCTGAAGCGCACAGGTGGGGGGAGAGAGAGAGAGAGAGAGAGGGAGGGAGAGTTGAGGGAGCAGCGATCGCTGTGGAATCACAGGATTAGCGACGTCAGGGGTCGCCAAACCCTGTGTTTTCATTGGGATGTTTGGGATTTCTGGGATGAGAATCAAGGAAACCATGTGTTTTCATTTGGATGTTTGGGATTTCTGGGATTTCTAAGGTTCTGAAGCTTCGGAAGCTCCTGGGTTGTTATTCTCTGGAAAGAGAAAATCCCAAACATCCAAAAAAATCCCAATGAAAACGCATGGTTTCCTTGATTCTCATCCCAGAAATCCAAAAAAAACAAATGAAAACACAGGGTTTGGCGACCCATGACGACGCTAACCCTGTGATTCCACAGGGATCGCTGCTCCCTCAACTCTCTCTCTCTCTCTCTCTCTCTCCACCTTTCTCTACCTCTCCCTCAGTCTCTCTGTGTGTCCTTCTCTGTGTCCCTCTCCTTTGTCGCTCTTGCTCTTTCTCCCCCTCCTTCTCCTCCTCCTGGCCCAGCTCCTCCTCTTCCTCCTCCTTCTCATCCTCCTCCTCCTTCTCCTCGTCGTCCTCCTCTTCTTCTGAAGCGCACAGGTGGGGGGGGAGAGAGAGAGAGAGAGAGAGAGAGAGAGAGAGGGAGGGAGGGAGGGAGAGTTGAGGGAGCAGCGATCGCTGTGGAATCACAGGATTAGCGACGTCAGGGGTCGCCAAACCCTGTGTTTTCATTGGGATGTTTGGGATTTCTGGGATGAGAATCAAGGAAACCATGTGTTTTCATTTGGATATTTTGGATGTTTGGGATTTCTAAGGTTCTGAAGCTTCGGAGGCTCCTGGGTTGTTATTCTCTGGAAAGAGAAAATCCCAAACATCAAAAAAACCCAATGAAAACACATGGTTTCCTTGATTCTCATCCCAGAAATCCCAAAAATCCAAATGAAAACACAGGGTTTGGCGACCCCTGACGACGCTAACCCTGTGATTCCACAGGGATCGCTGCTCCCTCAACTCTCTCTCTCTCTCTCTCTCTCTCCACCTTTCTCTACCTCTCCCTCAGTCTCTCTCTGTGTCCCTCTCTGTGTTCCTCTCTCTGTCGCTCTTGCTCTTCCTCCCCCGCCTCCTTCTCCTCATCCAGCTCCTCCTCCTCCTCCTCATCCTCCTCCTCCTCCTTCTCCTCGTCGTCCTCCTCTTCTTCTGAAGCGCACAGGGGGGAGAGAGAGAGAGAGAGAGGAAGAGAGAGAGAGAGAGGAGGAAAGGAAGAGGAGCGTATAACATCGCCAAAACACCAGAGGCCAAGAATGGGCGCTGGGGGGGCTGTCCATATATATATATATATATATATATATATATATATGTATATATGTATATATGTGCGTGTATGTATATGCGTGTGTGGGGCGTATGTATGTGTGTATGCATGCATGCATGCATGCATGTGTGTATGTGTGTATGTTTGTATGCGTGTATGTATGTATGTATGTATGTATGTATGTATGTATGTTTGTATGTGTGTATGTATGTATGTATGTATGTATGTATGTATGTATGTATGTATGTATGGGTGTATGTGTGTATGTATGTATGTATGTATGTATGTATGTATGTTTGTATGTGTGTGTGTATGAATGTATGTGTGTATGTATGTATGTATGTATGTATGTATGTATGTATGTATGTATGTATGTGTATGTTTGGATGTATGCGCGTATGTACGTATATACGTGTGTGCATGTATGTATGTATGTGTGTAACTGTGTGTATGCGTGTACGTGTGAATGTATGTGTGTATGTATGTATGTAAATACGTATGTAATTGCATACATATATATACATAAATATACATTACGGTCGGTAAACATATATATATATGGTACAGGTATAGCCACGTATTGAGATTTACATGTATGTCTATAGATACATGTGTCTGAATGTGTGTGGGTACGAAGATGTGTTGGTATATACAATGTTAGGTATACATGTATGCATACACGTATATCTACGTGGTCGAGATGTGTGAAAATACAGTTGTGTATGTACGTAGAGATGTGTGTGCATGTCTAGAAAGATACGTACATATGAACTTCTGCCTACACACGTGTAAGGGTATACAGTATAAGTAGATGCATGCACATACTAGTTGTGTGTTTCTGTGTATGCACACCGAGCTAAATTTAAATATGCATGTCTAAACTATGTGTATCTAAATATGTCTACGTATACAAATAAGTGATACACATATATGTGTGTTTCTCACTATCGAACTATATATATATATATATGTGTGTGTACCACTGCTGTGCCCAGCCAAGGCAATCCAGCGCCCCCGGCATGGCGCACACGCCCTCCTCCCGGTCGAGGCCAGCACACACGACCACGGGACCCAGGATGGCCCCAGCCAAGAACGGCGGCGATGCACAAAGGCCCCCTGCGGGTCCTGGGGCGACGCCCCGCGCAGCAGCCTGCCGAAGCTGCCGGTCCACAGCAGCGCCAGCTGTGCTGGGGCCACGGGCGCCTGCGGAGGGCAACGGAAGAAGAGGAGTCGCCCGTGCGAGCGAGGCCCTGGAGCAAGCGCACCCGAGGTAGGGACCGAGCGCGGCAGGATGATTCGGTAAAGTCACCGTCTCGTATAGGGGGTCGGGCCCAGAGAATCCGATGTCGCGATTCTTTCTGGACCTGGTCCCTAGCGGTCTCGACCCATGACCTGGGACCGGTTCTTCATCCCGAGTCGTTTCTGACGGTCCTGGGGCCCGGCGAGGGCCCCTGGAGGCCGAAAACTGGGCAGAACCGCCGCCTTGGCTCTGTCAGCACGCTGCATCCCTGGGCCCCTCCCCTGGCGCCTGGTCCTGCATGCAGACGAGCGCGAGCAGCTGCTGCAGCAGCCGCGTGCGAGCGCTGGGCGAGACGGTGGCCCTGCGGTCCGTGGCCCAGTCCCGGGCCCAGAGCAGGGCCTCGAGGAGCGCGGCCGGGCCCCCGGCGAGGCGCAGGAAGTCCAGCGGCTCCGAGGCGCCGCGGTCGTGCAGGACGGTGGTCCAGAGCGCGAGGCACCGGGGCCGGTCGACGCTCCCCTCGCAGGCGTGCGGCGCGTGCCTCAGGATGAGGCGCCCGAGCTGCACGGCGGTGGCCGCGCGGGTGCTGGAGAGGCGGAGCAGGCTGCAGAGGTTGGAGGGCAGCACATGCTGCAGGATGGCGGCGGGGCTGCGGCTGGAGGAGAGCAGCTGCGCGAAGAGCTCCGAGTCCTTGATGTGCTCCACGGCCCAGACCCTCTGGTGCACGTCGGCCCAGTTCACCGAGTGTCCACGCTTCACGGCGTCCACGAGGTCGTGGAGGGACGCTTCGGTGGCAACTCACGGGAGCCTCCCATACCCTCTTGTCGGCTCTTGCGAGTCGACGCTAATCAACGCTGAATCGACGCTAATCGACGCTGAATAGACGCTAATCGACGCTAACCGACGCTAAATCGGCGCTATCTCATCGACTTCAGACGCTAATCGACGCTAACAGTTAAGAAGGTATAACAGGCTGCATGATTTGCCACCGAAGGACGTCGCGTCTCCTGCCCAAGAGAACGCCAGCCCAGCACAGCCTGGAGTCCCTGCGCATTCCTCCGCCAGCTCGAAGGGGAAGCTCACCTTTAGATGATCATTCTGGAACCTCGCTCCACTCGTTCGTCGAAGCTGCGTCGAACCCGAGTCGAAGCTGCGTCGAACCTGCGTCGAGCCTGAGTCGAAGCTGCGTCGAACCTGAGTCGAACCTGAGTCGAAGCTGAGTCGAATCGACGCGTCGAGCCTGAGTCGAACAGATCCGTCAGGTGGGCCCCAGGAAGGTCCCCCAAAGCGAGCGTCGGATCGCCTGGTCCACGCACTGGCGGCGCCTCGCCCAGGCGCTCGAGAGGTTGAGGTCCCAGCTGCCGCGCGCGCCCATCGCGTAGACGCACCACGCCAGGAGGCGCAGCGGCGGCGGCGCCTCCTGGGCGCGCGGGGTGCGCTCCAAGAACTCCACGAAGCTCGCCAGCTCGTCCTGGGCCCGGTCCTGAGGGAACAGAGGTCGTCAACCATCAAAAGGGCCCTTACCCTTTGGGAGGGGACCCAAGTCAGGAGGGCCAAGAAGAACATCAGGGGCCTGCAGATCTATCGAGCCATACCGCCCAGAATCGCGATCCCCAATGCGAAAACGGGGACATCAGTGAGGACACGTCTTCACTGTGTTGTTAGGGTTAGGGGTTCTTGCATCATCGGTGAAACAAGATACCAGGACTGCTACTCCCCAGACCTGTCCGAGGGCGCGTTCCGGCCAGAATCTGAAGGCGAATCCAGCCACAACGACGAGGAGTGGGCACCCGAACACGCGACGTCCTGCTTTCGTCAATACGGGGTACCCGGAAGTCCCGACCCCTTCCCCATAGATCCGGCTTCTCACCCCGAGATGGCTTCTTTGACGGCACCCGCGTCCGCCGGCCCCCACAGAGGCCGAAAACGGCCCAAACCCGCCCGTCGCGGTTTTTGCTCACGACCCGAGCAGGTCTGGGCAGCGGTCATAGAGGCCTCCCAGATGGGATCGAAGGATCGCGCCGCATCGCCGACGTATCGCCGATGCATCGGCGACGTCGGCGGTGCATCGGCGACACCGGCGTGGGAAAAGTCGAGCCCCACATCGAGCCGCATCGCCGATGCATCGCCGCTGCATCGCCGATGCATCGCCGATGCGTCGGCGATGCGGCACGATCCTCCGACCCCATCTACTCGGACCCCATCTAGGAGGCCTAGATGGGTGGCGTTAAGTAGCGGTGTCGTTTCCTCCCCTGAGGTTAGAAGAAAAGGAAAAACGCCATAAACAGAAACTGTTGGCGCTCCGCGCGGATTTCTTGGATCCGCGCCTCGGCCCCCCCCCGCGGCACCTCCGGCGCCGCCCCTGGCGCGTTCCGCGCGCCACAGGGGGGTCCAGCGCAGACACAAGAAATCCGCGCGGAGCGCCAAAAGGGTATGTTTCTGCCATTTGCTCTTCCTCTAGATAGGGGAGACGTGAGACACGGGTTCGGGAGACTCAGGTTGGCCTGACGGGGCCATCAAAGAAAATGACGAGACCCAGTCTGAAATTTGACGCGAGCTCCCGCTGCAGACATCCCACGAAAGCCGGACCGTCAAAATCTCAAAATCCAGGACGTGCTCGTCAAAAAACGTCGGCAGACCCGACCTCTGGCTTACTCGAGCCTTACGTTTCCCCGATAGGAGGCCTAGACCCCCTGAGGTCCAGCATCGCCGCCCGGAAGCACAGGTCCACGAGCCCGGCCGCCGCGTGGGGGGCGCCCTGGCTTTGCCGGCCGGTGTGCCGCAGGTAGGCGGCGACGAACTCGGCCGCGGTGGGCTGCGAGATGGTCGGCACGCGATGCAGCAGGATGTCGGCGGCGAGCCCAGGGGGGAAGTGAGGAGGGGCGGGCCTTCTCAGCAGGCTCGGAAGTCCCTCGGACTTCTGAGAGGATCTCTACGCCCTCCCCGAAGACGCCGAAGACTTCTCGGAAGGCGCGAGGGCTTCTGAGAAGTCCCGCCGCCTTCTGAGAAGGCCTGCTCCTTCTCCTTTCCCCCCTCGCTCGCCGCCGAGGATGGTGCGGGCGCCAACAATGCACACCACCACCGCCACCACCACCCTCGATCCTTCCCTCCCTCTCAGGAGAGAGGGGGGGAAAGAGAGGCTGCAGGAGGGAACGCGGATGAGTGTGGTGGTCCTAGACCCCCGAGCTCGTGACTTTTTCGCAGCGTCGACCCTCCTTCCTCCTCCTCCTCCTCCTCCTCCTCCCCTCCTCCTCCTCCTCTCTCCTCCTCCTCCGCCTCCTCCTCCGCCTCCTCCTCCTCCTCCTCCTCCTCCTCCTCCTCCTCCTCCTCCTCGCGCCGTGCAGCATCACGACTGGAGGCTTCTCGCCACGTGCGGCCTCCCAGGGGCCCCCGCTGGGCCCCGGGGCCCGCAGAAGCGACCCCGGGAGGAGGAGAGGAGGAGGAGGAGGAGGAGGAGGAGGAGGACGAGGGGGAGGAGGAGGAGAGGAGGAGGAGGAGGAGGAGGAGGAGGAGGAGGAGGAGGAGGAGGAGGAGGGGGAGGGGAGGAGGAGGAGGAGGAGGAGGAGGAGGAAGGAGGAGGAGGAGGAGAGGAGGAGGAGGAGGAGGAGGAGGGGGAGGAGGAGGAGGAGAGGAGGAGGGAGGAGGAGGGAGGGGAGGGGGAGGAGGAGAGGAGAGGAGGAGGAGGAGGAGGAGGAGGAGGAGGAGGAGGAGGGTCGACGCTGCGAAAAAGTCACGACCTCGGGGGTCTGGGACCACCACACTCCTCTGCCCTCCTGCAGCCTCTCCTCCCTCCCCTCTCTCCTGAGAGGGAGGGAAGGATCGGGGGTGAGGGCGGCGGTGGTAGTGTGCAGGTTTGGGCCCCCGCAGGATGTCCACGAGGGCGGCCCGCGGGTCTGGGGATCGTTGTCTGTTTTTTCGGCGCCGACCCAGGTTTTCCGGTGTGGGGTTAGGTCGGGCCTGTCCCCCTACAGGGGGTTTTGGACGACAAAATAAAAAAAGTCGCAAAAATACCCCCTAATGGCAAGAAAATTTCTAGAAAAAATCGTCCCCTGGGTATTTTTTGACTATTTTTGAATATCCCCCCTGTAGAGGGACAGGCCCGACTTAACGATAACCTACCCTCTTCGCTCTGGGCAGCCCCACGTTTGCCTGCGCGCACCAGTACTGCGTACCCCCTTCGGACCTGCGCAACCGACAAGGTCATGCCATCGGGGGGGAGGCGGGCGAGCCCGACGACCCCGGTGATCGCCGGGCCCTTCCGAAAAAGCAGTCTCCTGGCCGCTGCAGCGCCTGGTCCAGCGCGTCGCACAGGCGGAGGCTGGCGGACTCCTCCCCGAAGACCAGCCGGCAGCCCACGAGCCAGTCGCAGACAGCGCCCCGGTGCTTCTCCGAGTTGCCCCTGGCCTCCAGCACGCTCTCGATGCGGGAGCGCGACAGCCGGGTCTGGATCAGGGCCACCTGCACGGGCGGCGCACCGGGCGTTGGCCGGGACTGCTCCAGGCGCTCGCGGTCCTTGGAGTCGATGCGGTTGCCGATGAGCACCACGCGCAGGGTGGGCCCGAGCTTCGCCCGGACCCACTCGAAGAGCTCGTCCTTGTGGTCGTCGCTCAGCATGTGGTACTCGTCGAGAATGAGCAGCCGCTGCCCCCGCCTGCCCTGCGCGGCGACGGTGCGCTGCAGGACCTCCGCCAGGGCGGTCGTGACCAGGATGTCGGACGAGCCATCGAACTCGTGTATGTCGAACTGCATCTCGCCCTCGAGCCTCCCTCGGATGGCCCCCATGTGGTGCGTCTTGCCCGCCCCTGGCGCCGACACGAGCAGCACGAGGCAGGGGTCGGCGCCGAAGACGTGGCGCTCGAGCTCATCGCGGAAGTCCGGGGAGAACGACGATTTGGCGGGCGTGTGGGAGAAGAGGCCTGGATCGCCGTCTGAGACCTCTGGCGCGAAGTGCCTCTGAAAAAACTGGAAGAGCCGCCGCGGGTCCTGGATGTCTTCGGGCGAGGGCTGCAGGCGCTCGGGGTAAGGGACTGTGTGGGTCGGGCGGATCTCCTCGACGGCGGGCGAGTGCAGATCTTCGACGGTCTTGATGGTGTGCAGTGGGTTCGGGGGCGCAAAGTGGAAGTTGCAGCGATCCCTGTTCTCTGGAAAGTTGAACGACGTGTCGACGCCCTCCAAGAATACGAAGCGCCAGGGATGCAAGCGCGTGTACTCTGCAAGCCATTTGAGGAGGATGTCGTCTATCTTGCGGAGCCCTTTGACGTAAGCGAAACAGCAGTAATTCGAAAATTGTGCGATGATCCCGAGGTATCCGCCACCGTGCGCCCTGGCACGTTGGGACGTGGTGTCATGCCATGTGCTGTCTGCTAGGACTTCTGTGGTCATTTACGACCTCACCTCGTGGCGCCCACTGCCATGCATGCCCTCCCTGCCCTCCAAGAGGGTCTGGGTTGCCACCAAAAGACCCAAAGGAATTCGAGACTGCCTCCAAAAGTGGCCAAGACCGCCCAAGAGGCCGTGCAGGCGATCCAGCGCCTGAATGGCCCGAAGACTGCCCAGACCAGCCTAAAGGCACCCCAAGAGCGCTCGACAATGCCTACACCAAGGCCCCAGACCGCACAAGAGGCCGCACGGCGGCCCAACAGGGTTCCGCGAGAACGCCAAACAGCAAGACTGGAAATCAAACGTTTGCCCGCGCGGACCGCAAAATGTGATTTCTGGCAGCACTCGGGATATTTAATGATATTTGGTTCACTCGATGTGGTGTATGATATGTGGTGCAAGCTGCGACTGCGACTACGACCCGCATCGCGCACCCTACACGTGCCGCTGATTGGAGACGAAGCAACCTTTGCGCAACCTGTGCGGTGCAAGCTATGTGGCACAACCTGTGGCGCAAGCTATGTGGCGCAGTTTGTGCGGTGAATGTTATATGGTCCACGCTGCGGGGTGCCCGCAATGTGGTGCAAGCTATGTCGTGCACACTGTGCGGTGCATACTATATGGTGCATGATCGGAAGCGCGTGACGCAGTCTATGTCACGTGTTCATGAACTTACGGTCGCCAACTCCATTGATTGAACCCAACCCGCGCTGGAGTCAAATTCAAACAAGACGGCTAAGATCTCAACCCGACGGTTCAGATCCCAAACGGTAAGAAAACAAAAACGGCTCAGAACACAACCGCCAGAAAAAAAACTACCATGTTTCAAGTTGTGTTGTCATGATCAGGTTGGCAACGAAAACCGACTGGTATCCACGCAAAACAACTCACGATGTGTTCATAGCGCGCGGTTGAGATCTATACTGTTACACTGTCCTATGCTATAAGATATGCGAGTTGTAAATACTCCAAGGCGGCCCCATGTAGGCGCGAACCACTCCAAGACGGCAACGTATACGAACGTACACGGAACTTACACGGAGCTTTGACGACACTGGTGCAACACGTATACACAGCGTATGGGACACGTATACGAAACTTACGGGAAACGTATACGGCACGTATGCGGCCCGTATACGAAACGTATGCGAGCACATGCGAAAAGCATACGAGACGTACACGATACGCATGCGCAACATATACGAAACGTACATGACACATATGTGGCATGCATTTGAAAGGTCCGCGAAACGTCAATGAAACGAACCTTACACGCAAATGAAGAGTAAACGAAACTTATATAAAACGAGTATATCTAGTATGTGAAACATATACGAAACGAATATGCAATATACAAGACACGCACATGAAACGCACATGACACGTAAGTACGAAACGCAACTGGAATGTATAGAAATACATCGCATCTAACACCGATATGAGACATCTACCAAACGCAAACGGAACTAACGACAACGTATACGCCACACATACGCAACATAGATGGAGCGTATGCGCAACGTACATTGGACAGGGATCGTCGAATGTCTGATGGAATCCACATTGAAAACGAAAGAGGAATATGAAAGAATCCTACGGGGCGCTGGGGTCGGCGCACATCCGAGTGAGACATATGAAGCACATGTGCAGGAAAAACTGGTGCCAACGCATTGCGCATTAAACTGCGATTGAAACACATATGAAATATGGAGGAATTCTGCGGGAGGCTGGGATCTTCGCCGCTCCTGTCGGGCTCCGATTAAAGCATACATGTAGAAATAACAGAGAACCTTAAGGGAGCTGGGACAATCGCGTTCCGTGTTCAATTCCGATTGGAATACACATACCTGATGCAAGAAAGTTGCTGGGTGGCGGGAGGCACGCATATCACATTGCATCCCGCCTGATACACATATGACATCAACAAATGCTGCTGGAGGCTGTGATTGGCGCATTTCCGACTGAATTCTCGACTGGAGAACACAAAACAAAGATATGAGAATTCTGAGAGAGGCTGGGATCGACGCTTCTCCGATTGAAGTCCGAATTGACAGCAAATAGAGTAATATGCTGGAGGCTGTGATCAGAACATGTACTACTCATTGGTCCCCAATGAAGAGCCATGAAAAAAATCAAAAAAATCTGCGAAACGCTGGGATCGGCGCAAGTCCTATTGAATTCCGATTGGCAACGTAAAACGGAAAATATTTAACAATCCTGCCATGGATACGATCGGCGTAATTCCTATAAACTGTACAGAATTCTGCTGGAGGCTGGGGCCGACGCATTTCCAAACAAATCCGGATTGAAATACAAATAGGACATTAAAGAGAATCCAGCTGGAGGCTGGGATCGGCGCATTTCCGATTGCATTCTCTATTGAACAGCACGAATGAAAACGTTTAAGAGTCCTGCGGGAGGCTGGGATCGGCGCATGTCTCATTGAAGTCAGAATGAAAATAAGGATGGAGGCTGGAACCAGAGCATGTCGTACTTACCAGTTTCTTTGGGAAAGAAATGAATCTTAAAGAATTCCACTGGAGGCTGCGACTGGCGCATTTCCCAAGGGATTCCGACTGAACAAACACAAGATATATCAAAACATGTTGCGGGTGGCCGAGGCTGGCGCAGTTGAAATGTCATTCCTAGTGAGAAACAATAAGAATTTTAAAGAATTACGGTGAAGGTTGGGAAGCGAATTTCTGACTAAACCTCCAGTGATAGACAAATAACAGATTAGACAATTATGCTGGAGGCTGGATCTTCCTGCACATGTGATACTGAAGTATCGAGTTGACTTATGTTTGAAAGCAAAAAAAGATTAAAGCATTATGCGAAAGGCTGGGGTCAGCGCACTACCCATACTGGAAGCACTAGCAGAAGATTGAAGAATTCTGCTGGAGGCTGGGTGGAGCGCTTTCCAACTAAATTCCACCGAAAAATGGTGAAGGCTGGGATTGGCGAGTTTCCTATTGAACCCCTGTTGAAAAACAAAAAAGAATCAGCCACTGTGCCCTTGGCACGAAGTAGAATGCCCTAAGGCTGACAGCTGTGCTGCTGCTGTTGCAGTTAGGATGCTAGATTCGTAGAAGTCCAGGAGCCCCTGTGTTCCATGTGTTCCCGAGAATTCCCAGAGGCTCTTGGAGTGTGTTGTCGCGTGCATCTTCTGAGGCAAAGAGAACCCCATAACGGGCCAAGAAAACCCTGGGAGGCCGCCCAGACGGTCCAAGAGGGCTCCAAGTCGCCCCAGGATCGCTCCGAAACGCCTTAGCGGCAAAAGAGAAATCCAAGAAACTTCAAGAGAGGCCCAAGAGCGCCCCCACGAGGGCCCTAACACGCGGAAATCAGGTATTACACTTTTTTAATGTTTGAAGAGTTGAGCCTTCTCGTTGTGTTCAGCTTCCAACGCTGAAAGACGGCCCAAGACGCCCTCACTAGCGCCCCTGGTCTGCACAGGCCCCCTGGAGGGCCCCAAGAGGGCCCCAGGACATGCCCAAGAGGCCCCCAAGACGGCCCAAGAGGCACCCAAGAGGGCCAAAGAGGGGATAGCTCGTCTCTAACTCATGATCCTGGTTCTCCTGTAGACGAGTATAATGCTACATCAACATAAAAAATGTAAAGTCAGCTCAGAATTCTTGGATCAGCGCTGGACCCCATCCTTGGCGCGAGGAGCGCACCCGGGCCAAGCGCAGGTCCACGCGCCGGAGGCGCCGCAAGGGAGGCCAAGCTCAGGGCCAAGAGATCCGCGCGGACCTTCGAAAGGTCATGTTCGAGCACTGTGTTCTTTTTCGATCCTGAGCCTAGCCTGCACTGGGCAAACGAACTGTTGCACTTTACCGCCCTCGGAGGTCTGGGGGAGACGGGTGTCACCCGTCACGGTCCTCTGGGCCCTGAAACAGAGAAAGCTGCCACATGGGACTGGTTTGCAGCGTTCGGAAGAGCGTGTCACATGCTACGGCCTTCTGGAGCGCGGACGAGCGTGTCGCATGCTACGGCCTTCTGGACGTTTCTCGGAGAGCCACCACACAAGCTGCAGCCCTGGCACGGTGGCGGAGCTTGCCACACAACACATGGATATCCCTGTATTGTCGACGCTGCGCTGCCACACCCTGCACTCGAAGTCCAGCACCGCGACGTGCAAACCGAGATCCTGCATGATCTGCGCCGTGCCTGGGCACACGATGTAGAGACCGTACATGTCGCTCTTGCGCTCGATGTAGCCGCGGACCTCCACCGGCACGTGCCAGGCGTTCGCCAGCACGCTCCGCAGAAAGAGCGCGGCCTCCGTGCCGGAGGGGCAGCAGCGGCAGAGGCAGTGCGCAATCACAGCCAGATTCACGCACCTGGCGTCCTGGTGCGGTGCGACGGCCATCATGCCCATCCTGCGCAGAAGGCGGCCAGCTCAGGGGGGGGGGGGGGGAAACATCGAGCCGGAACTGGCGATACATCGCTGACAGAGCGGCGACAGGCCCTCGATAGCGGATCCGCACGTTCCTGGGCGGGGTTGGCTATCCTATCCGCCCCCTATCGGCGATCAGTGGGCGAATGGAGATCAATGCGACAGGCCCCCGATAGCGGATCCGCACATTCCTGGGCGGGGTGGGCTGTCCTATCTGGCCCCATATCGGCGATCAGTGGGCGATTGGGGGTCGATGCGCCCTCCGCTGAGCCTGTCACCCCCTGACGTTTCGAACAGGGGATCGACTGCAAAATTGTATGTACCCCAAACTTAGCTTCCTCGTCGATCAACGAGAAAATGCGCAGAAATGCCCGAAGATCTACGAGCAGTCTGCGTAATGTCTGTCGACTCGACGACACTTTCAACTGTGGGGTACATCAAAGTCCTGCGGTCGATCTCCTCCTCGAGCGTGGCCCCTGACCACCCCCTGGCCAGGGTCGTCGCGGGCCCCATGGGTGGTGCGCTAGCCCCCCGGCCGCCGGACCCTCCACGGATGGCCCGGGCCAGGGGCGGGTCGTGGTGCGGTCGACTGCCTACCAGACCACCCCAACCCAGCCCGAAGACCCGCAGCGCGGGTTGGGGGGGGCGGGGGGTACAGGCTCCGTGTGTGTTTTTCAGCCTTCCCCGACCCCATCCCCCGCCCGCTCCCCTGGAGATGGAGGGCCCATCGAGGCCTTCGGGTTGGGTTGGGGCGGTCCGGTGGGCGGTGCGCGGTGACCGCCCCCTGCGGGCGTCCTCTCGCAGCAGCGCAGTATCCAGGCCGTGGCCTCCGGGGGCAGCGGCGAGCGGAGCACGTCGGCGGCCCACGCGAGCAGCTGGGCGCGGAGCGTGCGCACGGCCTCGGGGCGCCCGCCCGCGTCGCCGCAGCGCCCGGCGTCCTCGAGCAGGTCGGCGAACACGTTCTTGTGGATGAGGTAGCCGAGGCAGAGCCCCTCCGAGGCCGAGTAGGTGATCTTCAGCCTCTCTCGGGGAGACGTAACTCGCCATCGCTCGGACGTCCACTCCCTGTGCTGTTTTCGGTTTCGTGCGTGGTTTTTTCGCCAAATGATCGAGGATGCTCCTCGATGGTCCTCGCCGATGGAAAAATGCACACGTCCGAGCGATGCCAAGGCTCGGGTTGGCCCGACGGGGCCATCAAAGAGAACGACGAGGCCTCGTCGGAAGCTTGACGCGAGCTCCCGCTGCAGACACCCACGAAGACTGGGCCGTCAAAATCCAGGACGCGCTCGGCAAAAAGCGTCGGCGAACCCGAGTTCCGGCGTACTCGAGTCCTACGTTGCCCCGACTCTCTAGCAGTACGGCGAAAACAAAAGCTTGGGAGGTCCGCGCGGGCCTCTCGGGCCGGCGCCGAGAGCCCTCGTCCATCCCGCGGAGAGCGCGCCGGGGGCGGCGGCGGGGGCTACGCCGGGGGAGGTCCAACGACGATCCGAGACATCCGCGCAGGCCTCCGAAGGGTCGTGGGCATGCCCCTACGTCTTTGGACGCCCGAAATGGGTACGGAAAGAATGGGTACAGTGCCCAACAACAAATGTTGTCCCAAACCAACAGCGGCCGCTGTTGGGCGGGCGGCCTTCTGTCTCGAATGAACTCAGGCCGCGGCGGCGCGGACAGCGAGTCCTGTTCAAAATGAACAGTAACTGCTGTTGGGCATTGTACCCATTCTTTCGGTACCCATGTCGGGCGTCCAGATCCGCGCAGGCCTCCGAAGGGCCGTGTGCATGCCGCTACGTCAGGGGGAGGGCCAGCCAAGGGAGGCAACAGCGAGCTGGAGCCGGCGAGGCATCGCCGACGGAATCGGCGATAGGCCCCCCGTGGCAGATCCACAGGCTCTTGGGCGGGATGGGCTGACAGGACCCCATCGGCGACGGTCGGGCGAGTGGGGGTCGATGTACAGTCGAGGCGTTGACCTAAGGAACCCTGAATAAGGAACGAAGCCCCTTTTTCCCATAAGTTCAACCTCGATTTCCTATGGAAAACCAAGGAAAACCCGAGGCAAACTTTGAAACAATCAAGGAACTCCGAGCCCCTCCCAAACGAAAAGGTTCCTTCTTCAGCGCCCCGACTGTATCCCCCCTGAAACCGAATGATCCTAAGGTCGAGCAGTCCTCCTACAGGCGGATCTCCGAGGAAAACTAAGAAATAGCCAAGAAGCAATACTCCAGCATAGTCAAAGACAAATCAAACAACCGTCCCCCGAGTATTCTTTGGACTATGTTTGATTATTCCTCCTGTAGAGGGACATACCCGACTTAATCCCAACTTGAGCAAGGACCGACCGTCCCGGCATTCCTATAGGCCTACCACGACATGTTCTTAGAACCCAAACATGTTCTGAGAACACAAACAGTGTTCTTAGAACAGAAGCTCGATGTGCTAAACAAGACAGCCCCAGCCAGAAATGTTCAAGAACATGTCCTGCGAACCACAAGAGGTTCTTAGACCAGTCTCTGGTGGGCCTATAAGCGAACCAGGACGCTTCGCCACTGCTTGACTACTGACGTTAGGTCGGGCATGTCCCCCCATCGGCGGATTGGGGGCGAAAAATAAAAGATACCCCCGAAAATACCCCAACATATGTAAAAAATACTAAAAAAATCCCCAGACTATTTTTTGTTATTCTTTGATAATCCCCCGATTTGATACTAACGTTGCCCCTGGCTCTCGGGCCGCGCCGCGGCTCTCCAGCAGCCGGTCGGGACGAGCTGGGCAGCCCCGCGAGGCGCAGCCCTCGGCGAGGCGCAGCCGCCAGGCGGCACCCCGCCGAGGCCATGGGGGGCCCGCGGCGACGCCCCGGAAGACCTCGAACGCCTCGAGCGCCCAGGAAACCTCGAAGCCTCGAACCCCTCGAAGCCTCGAACGCCCAGGAAACCTCGAAGCCTCGAACGCCTCGAACGCCTCGAACGCCCAGGAAACCTCGAAGCCTCGAACGCCTCGAACGCCTCGAGCGCCCAGGAACGCCTCGAGGCCTCGGACGCCTCGAACGCCTCGAGCGCCCAAGAGAGAGCGGCGTGAGCACCACAAACTGCTGGCGCTCCGCGCGGACTCCTTGGATCTGCGCCGGGCCCCCCCTCCCTCGCGCGCGGGGCCTCCTCCTCCTCCTCCTCCTCCTCCTCCTCCTCCTCCTCCTCCTCCTCCTCCTCCTCCTCCTCCTCCTCCGCCTCCCTGGCGCGCGGGGCGCGCCAGGGGCGGCGGCGGGCGGCGCCGCCAGGGGGGCCCCGGCGCGGATCCAGGGAATCCGCGCGGAGCGCCAAACGTTTAGGCTCATGGCGTTTTGCTCCCCTTCGAGCCCCATGGTCGGGGCCTCTCCCCGTCCAGGGCGACGAAATAGAGCGGGACGTCCTCGCCGTAGAAGGTCAGCACCGCGTGCCGGCTGCTCGTGGGGCGCCCCACGCCCTCGGGCTCCCCGAAGAGCACGGCGCCGCCCGCGGGGTCGCGGTCCATGGCGGTGTCGGCGTAGCTCCTGTCCGAGCAGGCGCGGAACGTCTGCACGCACCTCGTGTGGGCGACGAAAATCGACGGGACGCAAGACTCGGGTTCGGGGGACTCGGGTTGGCCCGACGGGGCCATCCAAGAGAACGACGAGGCCTCGTCGGAAATTGGACGCGAGCCCCCGCTGCAGACACCCACGAAGACTGGGCCGTCAAAATCCAGGACGCGCTCGTCGAAAGGCGTCGGCAAACCCGAGTTCCGGAGTACTCGAGCCCTACGTTCCCCCGGAGAAAGAGAGGAGGGGCCCTGCGCGAGAAAGACACAGCGACCTTCCGCCGCGGCCAACGCTGACCGCCAGCGCGGCACGCTACGGAGGAAGCGACGACGCTCACGCGCGACCTTACGCGGGCAGCTCGCGCGCCCGTGTCGGCGCAGGCGTCCCCGCTTCTCTGTGTCGCTCGCGTGGCGGGACGGGCCCCGAGGCCCGGGCGTTGCGGTTCTGCCCGCGCTGGGCGCTTTCGCCCCGGCTTCGGGCGAGAAGGCCGTCCTCCTCCTCCTCCTCCTCCTC